CTTTTGTCACCAAATCCAACCCAAGAAACTAGCATGAATTTCCTCAATCCGGCTGCTTACTTGGGTTTTGCCTAACAAGTGATGGCTTGGTTAAAAAACTCCTTGGAAAGCACTGGACAGTTAAACTGCTCCAATGGCTGAAGCTCTGTGGGGAAATCCAAAGTTAAGGAAATGACAAATAAACAAGAACCAGTACTGGACATTCCTTGTTGATTTGGGCTTTTTGTCTTTAAGTTCAAGACAAAATCTGAAAACGTTTCTACACCAGAAATGGAATTACTTTTGATGTCAATCATACTTAAACACTCTTGTTCCGCCTTTTTGTCACTCTAGATCTATACCTACAAAGAAAAATAACTTACACAATCATCAACTGAAATTGACTTTACTGAAATTTTCAGAAATTTTCATGATTTCTGTTTAGCATTGAAACAACCTAAAAAGTGTATTAACTTAATCGAACATGGGTTCAAGATATTGTCAGCAGGATTTAGTTTAAAAATAAATATAAAATAGAAATAAAAATCTCAAACGGATTAGAAATTTGACCAAAAGCCTTTAAGTGATAGATAGTGATTTGATTCATGTTCCTTGCCAGAACGCTCAACTCATTCATTTTTCCCACAAATTAATTCATTATCACTTCAATGAAATTGAATTATGTGTAATTTAGTTTTAGGAAACTTTAGTCATCCAACAAGTCATTATGTTTCTTTATTACCAAAAAAAACCATTATATTACTTTCATTTTTTAAATTAAAATAAAAAAGTTTCCTTTTACATCAATTATTGCTTAATTTTCTCAGGAAAATTTAAAATTATGTAATCCTATTCATGGGTCTTTCGACTTACTTGTTCTTCTGAAGTACTGATTCTTACTCCGAGTGACAACATTTCTACTCACTTTCAAGCTCAGTTTCTTCACTTCTTGATCTTATCCTTCCTTTATTACCTCTCATTGCATCTGCCAGCTCCTGTATGGAAGAAGAAGAGCTATGCTCCATCTTCTCTGCTAGAATCTCGACATTGTCCCGCAATCCTAGCCCTATCAGTCTGTCCCTCAACAGCTCAATAGTAGAAGAATATGGTGGTATTCCTTCATCAATCATCATCTCAAAGTATTTACAGGCTTCCTCTAATTTACCTTTCTTCTTACATACGCCATGAACCATCACTGCATATGTCGAAACAGAACATAAAATCCATTATTCCTCATTGATTCCCAAACCTCGGTTGCTCTGTCGAACCTCCCAACCCTAATAAGCAACTTCAGCACCATATTGTAAGTATGCTTATCAGCCAAGCAATTATATTTCTCCATTCTAGAAATTAATCTAAGAGCTCTATTGACCTCACAGTGATCACAATGGTAAGCTAGGACGGCATTGTAACTCCATGTATCCGGGCCCGCTCCCCTCTCAATCATCTCCTCTAAGAGTAGGTAAGCATCGTCCACCTTTTCGTGCTGACAAAGTTTCTTGAGAAGATAATTGTATGTATACACATTAGGCACAAGATTGTATCTCCTCATTCTGTCAAGAACCCGAAAAGCCGAATGGATATCATCTGCTTCACAGTATGAACGAATGAAGATTGAATAACTACAAGCATCCGCCTCAATTCCATGAGAACGCATTTCTCCAAATATCTTGTATGCTTCATCCACATTTCCTCCTTTGCATAAAGCCTCCAACAAGCTATCATACGCAGGCAAGTCAACCGAGAAACCTCGTTCGAGCATTTCATCGAACAGCTTGCGTGCTTCATTCGATTCTCCTATATCCCCCCACCCACGAATCAAAATGCTGTAAGTTTTTGCATTTGGTTTAAATTCAACCTTAACTCTGTTAAAAAATTCTTGGGCATGCTTAACATGCTTCCTTTTGCACAGAACATATAAAAGCTTATCTAGATCATCAACACTAGGCTTAATCCCAAACTCAATCATTTTATTAAAAGCTCTGATGGCATCCGCTGGTAAATTAGCTTTGCTATAACCTCTGAAAATAATCCAGAAAACCTCTGGGCTTATAAGGAAGTAGTTATGTTCTCTGGCTTCAATCAAAAAATCCCACAGTATAGCAAACTGCCGGCTACTACTCAAAATATCAACCAAAATGTGATAGCTTTCCAAACTATGTTCAAAACCCGGGATTGTTTTAGCCCAAAGAAAGAATCTGTGAGCAGAGAAGCCGAGATTTTTGCAGCGTTTCAACACCTGCTCAACCAAGGTTGTGGATAATTTGGAAGAGTAAGGACTAAGAGGGAGATCCAGGTCATGATGGGGGTATCTGTGATCGCTCAGTACGCGGGAGATTTCGTTCACAAGGTACAGTAATGGCGGGTCTGCGAGTTGCTGCGCGCAAGAAGAGAAAAAGTGAAAATGAGTGTGTGAGTTGGGTTTGTGGAGAGAGAGTAAGATTTTCCTGGGTTTGAAGAAAAGTGATCTGAAAGCCATGGTTGAAGACTGAAGAGTGACACTTGATAAAGAAAAACGATGGCTCATAGTTATGTTCCCGTCGAAGAACTGTCTGAACCGGGCGGAGGAAGCTTGCCGGCCCGGTTCTGTCAAGGATTTTAATGGGTTGGGCGTGAACCGGTGGTCAGTCTTAATGACAGATTCTTTTAAATTTTTTTTTTAAAATAATTTTTATTTAACATATAAAATTAATCTAAAAAAAATGTTATTTAAATTTTAATTGTAATCTACAAGTTTGACCGACGAAATCCGATGACTTTAGGGTCAAACTGAATTGACAAGAGATCTGTCAAATAAAAACTCACCATATTTTTATATTAATGATTTCAAATTATTCTCTGCAAGCCAAGCATGTTATAAACTCTTTCCTCATTTTTGTTTTTTAAACAAATATAAATTTAGAGTTAGATAGTTTGATTAGGAAATTCAACCACATAAATCTTATTCTTTTATGTGTGTGTGTGTGTGTGTGTATATATATATATAGAATGAGACTATTTATTTTTTTTATGAGAAGTAAATAAAAGGCTTATTTGTTTGTTTATTTATTTGAAGAGGTAAAGTAAGAGACTCAATATTAAACTTATTTTGGTTTTTAGTGTATCAAACAAACAAGAGCACATATACATACATACATATATACATGTAGTATAATTTTTTTTTGCAATATTTAGTGCATCAAACAAATAAGACTACATTCAATTTAAGAAAACACAAATAAGACTACATCTATGTATATGTGTGTGGTATAACATTTTTTCAATATTATAATATATCACATCTAAGTACACTACCTATAGATTATTACACAATATGATAAACCCTTTTTATAGAATTGATAATTTTTAATTAATATATTATATTATTAATTTTCTGTCTTTTTCACTCCAACAATAAAATTCTTCACACAGATACCCTACTTTGGAAGTAGAGAGAAAGAGTCATTTTCCATTCAGAAACCCTGTATGTATCCATACAAGTCTCAGAAAGAAACCCTGTTTTGTATTCTACACCCAAAAAAAAAAAAAAAAAAAAAGAAAGAAAAAACTTCATGTGCAGGCAAAGCTAAGTAACAACCAAACAAATCCTCTAATCTTTCCTTTTATTTTTCTCCAAAGGAAAAATAATAATAATATGTAAACTTCCCACCTTGAAAACTCACCCAAATTACATCAAACATATATGATATATATACATAATAAGATAATGAAGCTACATGCCATGTCCTGTAGAGGTTCTAAGTCTGAAGTCTCTTTCTCCATTAACAACTTCCTTCTTCCTCCATGTATCTTGTTAATAAAACCTCCTCAAGAAACATGATATCTAACCTAAACACAAAGCAAGGTTAGGTGACTGATAGCAACTTTCAACATTTCCTTCCTTTTTTTTACAACTCTTCACCTCTGCTTCTTGCAATTCCATACTCTTCTCTTTCTTTCTAAATTGAGGAAGCTGATAATCTCTCTCTGGGTTTTCTTGGTGAGTTTGTTTTCAGGTTATAGGAGAGAAATGCAGCTGCATATATCGCCCAGCTTGAGGCATGTCACGGTGTTTCCGGGGAAAGGAGTTAAAGAATTCATCAAAGTAAATGTTGGGTCGAGAAGGGTTTCATATAGAATGCTCTTCTATTCACTTCTCTTCTCCACTTTCCTCATCCGCTTTGTGTTTCTGTTAACCACTGTCGATGACATTGATGGAGATGTCAAATGCTCGACAATTGGTAACTTTCTTGATTTCACTTTACATCTATCTTTTTTATCTATCTATCTATTTTTATCTCTCATTATATTTCACATAAGTATGTATAGTACATTTAAAATGAAACAACCACATTTGTAAATTCTTCCAACTCCCCAAGAGAACTCAATAATTTGTCATATAACAAATATATATAGATATGCCACATTCATGTATCTAAATACTTTCACATTAGTATGTTTCAGTACTCTTAGTTTCATTTTAAATTACTAACATTTCTATTACAATAGCACTTCACCTCAAAAAAAAAAAATTTACAAATAGCACTCTTTACCCAGAAAAAAACAAGGTTTACGGTAGTACTGTATCTTTTGTTATTATTATGTCAAGAAAGTTGAGACCAACAATATGATATCATGTCAAAAGTTACTAACACAAATTAGATTCATTGAGACTTGATTAAATATTAAGTTTATCCATGTAAACTACATGAAGGTACATGCATCAAGTTTTAGTTTTGTATAGAGAATATATCAAAAGTTTATCATTAAAATAAAAAACATCGATAAAAAGTAAGCATCTGGTTTATTATAACTTAAAAAGTTGTCTGCTTTTTCCCTTGGGAAAAGTGAACATGTCAGTTTAAGTTTTTCTTGGTTTGGTAATTCCTTCAATTGGCTTTATCCCCTGCTCATTAGTAAATAACCTATAATATATTATCTACTTAGACTGGATATATAATATTTAGTGATTTGAGTTTTAGAATAAAATCCAAATGTCTCTTGGCGGTTAATTTTTTTGGTAAAAGAAAGGGATAGATTAGAATATTGCTGACATAATTAAAAAAATTGTTTCTGATTATGTATGTTTTTGGATTCATGTGAATGCACCGACCATAACAGAAGATGTGAATCTCAAATCTGAAATTATGAAAAAAAAATAAATAAATAACCAGGAAGAACTTCAAAAACAATTGCTATCTAATCTCTTGGTTATTTGTCAATATCACCTTAAAGTTCAAGCTACAAAATATTCACGTTTAAGAAAGATCAATTAAAATAGATGAATAGTTAATTTACTTGGTGTTTGGTGCAACAGCAACTCTGTTATCACCACCTGGCTATATCTTCTTAATTACTAAAAACAGTTGCTATAGATAATAAATAGTTATGATGACATAAAAAGTTATTTTTTTTATTGGTTTGATATTGATATCTATAATGGTAATGGTAGGTTGCTTGGGAAAAAGACTAGGACCAAGGATTCTGGGGAGAAAGCTGGAGTCAAATGTAATCTACCAACCTGTAAATTTGCTACCCAAACATGACTTAATTGATTTATTAAGAGCTTGATTTAAACTAACGTGGGTTTTCTAAATAGGTCCCGGAAGTTATGTACCACGTACTAGAAGAACCGCTTAGCCAAGAAGAACTAAAAGGAAGGTCTGACATACCTCAGTCACTGGAAGAATTCATGGCTGAAATGAAAGAGACCAAAACAGATGCAAAGACATTTGCGGTCAAGCTTAGAGAAATGGTACATCCTTCTCTTCTTCCTTTCATATGATAACTGAGGTTGATGAATATATTTATCTGGAAATAAATTTGGCACTTCCTCAGGTCATCCTTCTTGAACAAAGAACAAGAACAGCCAAAATCCAAGAATATCTATACCGCCATGTAGCATCAAGCAGCATACCTAAACAGCTCCACTGTCTGGCTTTGAGACTTGCCAGCGAACACTCCACCAATGCAGCTGCCCGCCTCCAGCTCCCGTCCCCAGAGCTTGTCCCAGCCCTTGTTGACAACTCGTACTTCCACTTTGTCCTTGCCTCAGACAATGTCCTTGCAACATCTGTGGTTGCTGCATCCTTGGTGAGAAACTCGTTACACCCCCAGAAAGTAGTCCTGCACATCATAACAGATAAGAAAACTTATTTCCCGATGCAAGCATGGTTTTCGCTGCATCCTTTGACGCCTGCAATCATTGAGGTTAAGGCACTTCATCATTTCGACTGGTTGTCCAAGGGTAAGGTGCCTGTACTGGAAGCAATGGAAAAAGATCAACGTGTTCGGTCACAGTTCAGAGGGGGATCATCTGCAATTGTGGCAAACAATACTGAGAAGCCTTATGTTATAGCAGCAAAGCTTCAAGCACTTAGTCCTAAGTACAATTCAGTAATGAATCATATCCGTATACATTTACCAGAGGTGATCAAGATTCTTATCCATTCTATTTTTGAAAGGAAAACACAGTAAAGAAAAGGGCTTGACCCATCTTTCTTTTAGTTCACAGCCCTGATACAATTTCTTCTGCAGTTGTTTCCCAGTCTCAACAAGGTGGTATTCCTCGATGATGACATAGTGGTGCAAACTGATCTTTCACCTCTATGGGACATTGACATGAATGGGAAGGTTAATGGAGCCGTGGAGACATGTAGAGGTGAAGACAAGTTTGTGATGTCAAAAAGGTTCAAGAGCTACTTGAACTTCTCCCACCCTCTGATAGCAAAGAATTTCAATCCTGACGAATGTGCATGGGCTTATGGCATGAACATTTTTGATCTAGAAGCTTGGAGGAAAACCAACATAAGCTTGACATATCACTCCTGGCTTGAAGAGGTAATTCCTATTGCCAACCACATTGATCTTATTTTCTCAAAACAAGATCTATCAGGTTGGCCACTGCAGATCACCAAGAGACTTTCAATCATCACCCATATTATTGCAATATCCTTCAAAAAAGACCGGCCATATTTGTGCTATAAACTGAAATTGACTGTAAAAGCAACATCTTTTTTTCTTACCTTGCAAATTGAAGTTATTAATTACACTTACCAATCTACGTACTTCTTTTTCATGCAGAACTTGAAATCAGATCTGAGTTTGTGGCAACTTGGTACTTTGCCTCCTGGTCTAATAGCATTCCATGGTCATGTTCATGTTATAGATCCTTTTTGGCACATGTTGGGGCTAGGATACCAGGACAATACAAGTCTTGCTGATGCAAAGAGTGCTGGCGTCATCCATTTCAATGGCAGAGCAAAGCCCTGGCTAGACATAGCATTTCCTCAACTTCAGCCACTGTGGTCTAAGTACATCGACTTCTCGGACAAATTCATCAAAGGCTGTCATATCAGAGCATCTTAACAAGGAATTTTCAGAGGAATATACTCATCTTACAGTGATAAAGCATATGTCTATATGAGAAAATGAAATGAGAAGAGTTCTTCAGACTCTGGAGGTCTTCAATACCGAATGTAAAATGAAAGCAGTAGCAGTCTTTGCATTTTTGGAACTCCTCATGGTCAAATATACCGGATCCCATCTTTCCCCTTGACTCTCTATTTTCTTTTTTCATTTCTTCTCCTAATGGGAAGAGCATGCTGTAGAGTTTAGCTGCTAGTAATTATGAATGTAGAAGAAGTTTTCTCGATATTCAGATTACTCTGAGATGCAAGCAGGTACAAATTATTAGTAAAAAATAAGAATTACATCAACAGATAGCCTGCTCAGTTGTCCAACTAAAGCACAACATAAAAAACTGCATTTGGGTCTAAAGAGAAAGAAAAGCTGCATGTCTCCAGAATATTTGTGCTACCTAGACAGTTTCCTAGGAATGATTCCCGCATGTCACATTGACAGGTAAATCAAATTCAAAGCTCACGGGTCCAGCATCTTGCAGTCAAAGCCGTAGAGACACAAAGCTCGTGTTTACCAAAAATGAAAACATATTGCTCATGTTCTGTGCTAAATGCAAGTTAACAGTGCGTTTATTGCTTAATCCACACAAACAAGAAGAATGCTAAACCAAGGGGCAGTAATAGTACCTGGTTTCCCAAATATGACTAGAAAGACAGTAGCACTTACCTACCAATGTGCCTCGTTTCTTCCTCCCAAAAGATCAAATAAAGAAGACAGCTTAACTTATCAGATTCTTTCAAGAAAAGGGAAACCATTTGGCCAGTATCCAAACAGCATTCATACAACGAAACATTGTGAATAAACCTTACCAAACATAGGTCCTTTCAGGGAAAATCTATAATACATCATAGGCATGATGCTTGTGTTAACTTTCTAACATTTTATAATAATTTGTTAGCCTTGCGCTGTACTAAGTTAGCAAGCAATATTAAGCAATTGCATCACGCAGTTGCTAAATTATTATGAAATATTAAAAGATTAGCTTAAAACAAACTGCCTCCAAGGCATCATAAAAGAATCCTTCAAATGCTACGACTAATGGGTTTTCTAAGCCTTACTGCATAGTAAATTTATGGAAAATTGTGTCTCAAAATATTAAGTGGAAAATAGAGAAACTAACTGGAGAAAAGCTCAAACTTGGTGCTGTTTATGGATGAATTGAACCACGTAAGAAACTGAAACTTACATATCCCATTTCTTGGTAGTTACACAGAGTCAAGATTCTAGATTTAGCCATAACAGAAAAACATTTCATTTACTTACCGTCATTATATTATAAAAGGAACAATAGCTTAATTCACATTGATGATACCAATACATCTGAACAAATCTCTAGAGTTTCCCACTCTCTCTACTGACTTACCTTTATATAAAAAGTGGGATACTCCTTTGGATGCTATGAGAGCATGGTTGTTCATACTTACGTGGGCAACATGTTCTCCCGGCAAATCAACAATCTTCAGTGGTGATGAATGGATATTCTCCATGATCTACAAAGATATCATTAGTAAAACTCGATGGTTCAGCTATACTTATTTTTTCCCTGTTACATTTGAGACCAAATCCCTCAGAACTTAGCGGACTTGGCGATCGGTGAATTCATGGCCATCAAGTTATACACACTGTCTCCACTTCATCTATGGAGGGTCGAGC